TCAAAACGTAATTCCTGTTTTCAAATTTGAATACAACAGGTGACCACGATCCATCATGAATAAACGAAACAGTAATTTAACACAATTCATTTTTTTGCATAGTTTTACAATGTAAAATAAAAAATTGAGACAACGGAAGATACATTGGTTTAGATTTTTTATACATACACGTGTGCAAATGCGGATTAAAATATTTCTATTGAAATATCGCTTTATTGCAAAACTCGTTCGACAAGTAACATTCGTTTTTATTGTTTCTCGCAATGGCCATTTATTTATACTTGCTTTTTCGAGGCTTTATTCTCGAGAATTTCTGACAACAGCAAATCAATCTCGCCTTCCACGTAATCCAAAATTATTCGTTTTGCGTTTAATAAATGGTATTTTGAAAATAATTGATTCACGAGATAGACGTTATCGTGATATCATTACAAATAGCTTGTTAATTAATTGAGTGGACGGAGTGAACTAATCAATTCATTAACTGTTCATTGAAATTTAATTGCAGAGAATTAATAATCGCGCGAAAACTTTGTAGTGATATAGCTTATCATTCGCGTTTTATAAAATAGAATCACATGAAAAATAGATTCGCGAAATTACGCGTTATCATATAAGTGCGCGAAATTATTACGAATAGTTAAATGATCAATTCCAAAATATAAAGTAAATATTGTTGCATAATGTAAACATTGTAGACCAATATAAATAACGAAGTTTGGTATACAGGTAGCAAGGTAGAAGATTTATATAGGAATATTTTTATGTAAACAATGCCATACGTTTATAACATGTTTACTGCTCCTAAATTTTTTTAGTTTCCATAGTACTAAAAGAGATTTTGGAAAGTATAAATAATTAATCAGCATTATACATATTTACATGTATATATTTCTATCACTATATTACTTAAATCAAGCACAATACTGGTAAGTACATTCAAGATGCATAAGACGTGGATGCCATAACCACTGCTAAAAAAAAGGCACGGAATCGCGCTGTGCGCATTGAACGTGTTAAAATGCACAACATGCCTTCTTTAAAAGAATTTCACGATCAAAAGTTTTAGTTTTTTTTATTAAAGTTTTAGATTACTGATGTATAATTGTGACAAGAATGGAGGAGAATCAAATACTAATTCGCGGCATTGCACAAATCTCGAGAATATCTTTATATTGCCGCTTACGCGTAAATTATTTGTAAT